CTGCAAAAGCTTCCACCAAAATTTTTATTACCAATTCACCCCCCTCTTGGCCGATTCCATCGATCGATTAACTCAACAGAAATAGAATTGTTGCAAGTCTTATTTCCATTAAAAATCATATACTTCTAATATGCACTCACCTGGCCTCACTAGTCAATTCAAGCACTTATAACTCTTTCCTGATCGATCTTATCTCGTTGACTCATCCGGTGCTTGCTTTCATTTGATATCTACACAATGATACATTTAGTACAAATATTAGAATTCTAAACATCATGATTCGATCCTTAATTTATTATACTAAAAGAAAGGCGTAATTCCATTTTCTATTTGGAGTAGTATCGGTACCCCCTGTAGGGTATCGATATTTCGCTAGCTGTGGTATCGGTACCCATTTGGTATTCGAAATCTTTATTTCAAAAATGGTACCGATACTGATTTTATGGTATCGGTACCCTTTGTATTTATACTACCTTCCCAGGTATCGGTACTCCGTGAACAATTTATAAATTTATGCATTATGGTATCGATACCCTCTCTTAAATTCTTACCCTTTTCTCTTTGAAGTATCGGTACTGGATGAACAGTACTGATACCTAATGCCCAGAATTCATCTTTTTAACTCGAAAATTCACCCAAACTTATTTATATCCTATACTAGAACCTCCTTTAAGTCCTTTAAGCTTAACTCCACTTATTCTAATCAACTTAGATCACTTTAACTCATCATAATATCTAATATCCCACATACATACTTGAATTCAATAATCAAGCCAATAAATTAACATGTTCCAAATTCATTTCTAACACTTTGAATTTCTTATTTCAACTTTTGACAAGTCAAATTTAACTTCCAAATCCATCTACTTCCTCTTTTTCAATAATTCACTTAAAAACTCCTTTTACTTAATCTCTCATAACTTGTTCATCTTTGAGTTTTAAACCATTTGAAACTTCCCTTAAGCTTTATTATCACTCTAAGAATCAAAATAAACCTTAAAATTAAAGAAACAATCAAGTTGAATCCAAATTACCTTACCATTGAATCCACGGGAGAAAGAAGATGACCAAGCCTTCAGAGTTTTCTTTCTTTCCCTTTTACTCCACGTGTTTACATCCTTTATAAAGGAAAATAAAAATCTTCCTTATGTAATGACCATTATACCCTATCATTTTCCAACTTTTCTAATCAATCCTATATCAAAATTCTCTACTTAAGTCCCTGAACTTTTAACTTCCTTTAAAATTGAGCACAAAGTTTTTAAAATTTACAATTTAGTCGCTAGCCCTGTTTTGAGCTATTACATATGCTCCATGGGAAAATCACTTTGTTTTTGTAAAAAGGATACTTCAATACTTATGTTCTACTTTTAACTTTGGGCTTATGTTCTCTCCTATTGATAGTGGATTGAATATTGTTGCTTTTACTGATGCGGATTGGGGTGCTAGCATTGACGATTAGTGTTCCATCACTGGGTATGGTGTGTTTCTTGGTAAATGTCTGGTTACATAGTTCTCGAAAAAGTAACGTATAGTTTCTCGGTCCATGATGGAGGCCGAATACAAAAGTGTAGCAGATGCAGCTTCTGATATAACTTGGATAAATGCTCTTCTAACTGACCTTGACATCCAGCAGTGTTGTGAGCCGGTTGTATGATGTGACAACACTAGTGTCGTGGCCATGAGTGTCAATCCCATCTATCATGCTCAGTCCAAGCATGTGGATCTTGATGTTCACTTTGTTCGTGAGAAGGTGGCAGCTGGTTAACTATGCGTTATTTATGTTCCTGCTATGCATCAAATAGTTGATGGGTTTACCAAACCTCTCTCTCGAGCTGCATTTGAGGAGTTTCGGTCCAAAGTGTGTGTTCATTCCTTTAGCCAAGGAAACAAGAAGAAATAGGGAGAATGTTAGCAGTGTAGTATAACTCTGCAGTTTGTTGTAACTGTGCCATATATGTGGCACTGACTATATGGTTAGTTGTTGAAGGTTGTTACTCGGTTATTAGAGTTGTTAGAGCTAACTGTTCAATGCAATGTATATAAACCTGCTTATACTCAGTAATAAACACAGAAGTTTCAATGCACTACAATTCTAATAATTGACACTTTAGCTAATACAAAAGTTAAAACTAGCAACCATGTGGCGGCCGTTAGAACCCTGACTCTGCCGCTGACCAAGTTGAATTCTACAAGTGATAGCTGCTAAATGACTATCAGACAATGTAATTCATCTCTCTGGGAAATTATGTGAAGTTCAAAGATATTTTTTATGATAAAAATATGAAATAATCAATTTTTAGGGTAAATTACTCATTTAGTGCCTAAACTATCAGTTTTTGTCCGTTTTAATATCTAAACTTTCAATTTTTTGAAAAAAAAACGTTTAGTTTTCATTTCATGTTAGTACCTCGCAGTTAAAAAGATAGCGCGTTTAGTTTTTTCAATCTCAATTATACCTTTAATTGAGCCCCCTAAGTTTTTTCAGTATTAATTTCTACCTTTATAATTAAGGCCCCCTAATTTTGTTAATTTCCTAAAATTCTCAATTTCTCATCCATTTCTCAATCTCTTTGGTTAATTCATTTAATTTTGAATTAAATCTAATCATATTTGTCTCTCTCTTTTACAAATCTCATTTTTTAATTTACCAAATATTCTTTAACTCTTAGTCTTTTTCAATATCAATCTAACGACAAAATAATATGTTATTCTTTATTTTTAATTTATTATTCAAAATCAAGCTACATATCATAATTCATACCCACGTTCAAATTTTTTTATTATATTAGTTGTATTTAAGGTGTTTTCTTAACAAAACAATGAAAGTAATGTTCAAAAAAGTTTAATCATTTTTCTACGATTTATTAATATAATACTAAATTAATTTTTTAAAATATCATAATATACTTTCGTTCTATAAGGGTCTATTTTTGAGTTTTCCCTCAAGGCCTCGAAAATGTTCGAGACGGCTCTGAACACTTTTAGTACCTAAACTATCATTTTTGGTATGTTTTATACTTGAACTTTTAATCTTTTCAAAATTTAACGTTAAATTTTGAATAGAAGTACTAAAATGAAACAAAAACTAAAATTTTTAATAGCGAGATACTAAAATGAAATAAAAAGTAGAGTTTAAGTATGGTACGATTGATAGTTTAGATACTAAATGCAAAATTTACCCGTTTTTATAACTATTTTAATCAGAATTTTCTTATCTTTTTCGAAAGTTAAAAACTTCTTAGACGAAGTGAGTTTGTGATCTTACATGTTGAGTTGTCGTTGAATGGCTTAAGGGTGTGTTTGGTTCACAGAATGTAAGATTACCAGTAGGAATAAAAGATTACCAGTGGGAATAAAAGATTACCAGAGAATAAGATTACTGGGAATGTTGTATTTTGTGTTTGGTTGGTTTAGCAGGAATGTAAGATTATCGTGTTTGGTTAAAGGAATAAAATATTATTGGAATGTATATTTGACCAAATTATCCTTATTATATATTTGTTATTTTTAACAAGTTGAAAAATATTTATATATTTTCTTTAAAAAATTTAAATTCATAAAGTTTATATAATTTTTTCACAAAATTGAAAATATAAAAAGGTTTAATGAAATGGTAAAATTTTATTTTAACCCTTGAACTTCATATAAAATTTTAATTATAAACTTTTTTTTGTAAATCTAAAATAGTTTAAGAATAAATTTATAATTTAACCTTCGTAGAATTTTTATTATTCAATTACAGATAAATGATACTTTTGAAAAAAAATTAAGGGTATTTTAGTCCAAAACGCCAGTAATCCAACAATACCTAAAGAAAGGGCGTAATGACATTCCCGGTAATATACCCCAAAAAATCTACTATTAGTAATAAAACATTACCGGGAATGAGATTCCCGACCAACCAAACATTGAAATGTAGATTCTATTCTTGAGAATCTCACATTCTCTGAACCAAACAACCTCTAAATGTAAATGATTCAAATGTCTCTTAGAATGAAAAATACACACTCAAATCTCCCTTTATCGTTACCAGAGTTTGGATGGATTTATATCAAGAAACCAAGGAGACAACTCACAACTTTTATCAAAGATAATTTCATTATAGCCATTAAATTAAATAAAAGAAAACTGAGAAGAAAAAGCAAATTCTGAGAATTTTTCTTTTACAGGAAGTATTTTTCTTCTCTTCACGGTTACAGCTATCAGTTCTTCAAGTCTTGAAAAGAAAAAGATAATTTTGTGATGATGAGACGGACCACATTGTACGGCAAAAATGAGGCCACTTGGGAATATTTTTTTCACCTTTATTTTTCTTCTTCCCCTCTTTTTTGTTGTTTTAGTGATAATTGTACAGTTGTGATTTGACCACGTTTCTCCATTAAAAAGGAGGCTATCTATTTCGTGGCTAGGGTCATGGTTTATTAGTACAAATCAAATGTTGTAGTGATGAGAATAGGCAATTTTCATATTTTACGTATTAATCAAATACCATGTCACGTTTATATAAATTTTGGTAAGATAAGAATTTATATACTTATATAATAATTAAATATCATGTCATGTTTAATATTAGGATAAATTACACGTTTAGTAGCTAAACTATCTATTTTGATCTATTATAGTACCTAAACTTTTAATTTATTCAAAACCATAACTAAAATTTAATTTTAGTGCACATGTTCAAAATTTAACATTAATTTTTTGAAAAAAGAATTTGAAAGTTAAGTAATATAATAAATCAAAATTAATAATTTAGACACTAAACACATTAAGTTTTTAACATTGAGATACTAAACTTAAACAAAAATTAACAGTTAAATATGATTTTTTAAAAATTAAAAATTTAAATACTAAAACAGACCAAAATTTATAATTTAAGCATTAAATGCATAGTTTACCCTTAATATTATTGAGAAAATATTATCTTACAAACACTCTAAACCATTCAAAACAAATATCATGCCATGTTTAATATTATCAAAGTATCAACAACCACGGAATATAAATGTTGAATGCCTGATACGGTCATTTTCATTTTTCTCATCCAATCCCGTGTACAAGATCCACAAATTACAACAATGCCTTTGCAAACTAGGCGTTAGTAGTACAATCAAATTAGCTTGTGGAAACACAAAAAAAACTACACTTTTCATTTTTTTTCAAGCATGTTCATGCTTTGACTCACTTATCTTGGTTGTTTCATCTTCCCTCTGCCATGGTTGATTAATATACAACAAAGAAGCCAAGTTGGTACACAAACTATATGGTTAAGATGGCTAAGCAAGCAGTGGAAGTTCTCCTGCGTTTCAAGCCCCAGCATAGATCATCAAGTTTAACGATTTTTCTCTTGGTCCCCAGATAACCTTGACAATTGGAAGCACCGCAATGGCACTTCACTTCTGGTCCAAACTGCACAAATCTACAAACACGAAGAGCCGAGTGAAAATCAAAATAATTTGCAAATGCGAAAATACTTGGTATATCTATCATCATGATCGAGGAATTCACTCCATATTCCAGAATGCACGGGCATGTTGTCTTTGCAAACTATGCAACCTCATACATATATACACATGCAAACGTTTCACCAGCTCCTATAGACCTTTCAGCAATAGGCAAGTTGTCAATTTCAGGTAACGTGACAGCAACTAATAAGTCTATCCATGCTTATTCATAGCTATTAACTGCAATATACTAAAAACACATAAATTGCGGCAATATTGTTGTTTTAAGCATTATTGCAAGTTTGCAACCACGCATACCTGTAGTCATACGTCAGTGGCTCACCAACTTCGATTGATCGAGTAGCAAACACCCCAACACGTGTCTCCCCTTCCACTTGCCTAACAAAATGGCAGTTTTATATGGTTAAAACCAAATATTATCAAAATAGTTCCATTACTGGCTTTAACACAGAATCTTCTCACAAACACTGAACCAGAGTATTTGAAGTACAGGGATCTTAGTGGCATGATAAAACCCACTCCAGAAGTCTAAAAATGGGACTGTAAAAACAAACCAACTAGTCAATTGCAAAATCACACAGTTTTGTTGAAGATGACCATACCATATTTGCAATAAAAAGTTTGGCAGGTAACAAAATGTTATTCAATCTTTAAAAACTAGTAGCTTTTATAGAATTTAACAGCAACAAATAAAAAGGCAATATATTAATACCAACCACTTCTCCAAAACACAATTCGGATCACAGCTGTGATTTAGAAAACGAGATGTATTTCCTTTGAAAGTTGCATCGATTGTGAAATCTTTTCGAATTTCACACATGTAAAAATTCTTCACCCCTTTGTATTTCATGTCCCAGAGCCTCTTTTCACACTGAGCATCATCAATAACTGCAGAGGAAGATAGTTATTTAGCCAGTATTCAACTATTATATAAATAAAATGAAAGATAAAACTTTTGACGAAAGTATGCAATTAAAAGCATGATTATATTCAATGTATAGATGAAATTTGATAGTATAATCAGGGAATTGATGAGAGAAAGGTTCACTGTTTCTTGGTAGAACGTGAAACACTCAGTAATAAACAAAACGGCACTAGTTCTTGTTATCAAATTGATTGCACACATGCCTATTCCTGCACCCAAATGGTTATATTTAAGACTAGATCATTGGTTATCGCATGTAATGGTCTATGTCATCCAAACCAACGACAGTTTAACAAGCTAGTGTATGAGCATGTTTATGCATGATTTGTGAGTACAAGTGAAATTGTCTCAAGATAAGATTGTTAACTAATCTCATAACTATAATTAATTTGCAGTACAAGCGGTAGAAATAAATCTTCTGTCAAAGGACTTCAAACACTTCATGCCAATTCAATAAATGATTCATACATCTTCGGTTGATATTATTCTTCTGCTACTAGAAAATATACACACCAAAGATTGATGTTGTTATTAGACAAACAGAGATCTTTAATGACAGATAAACCCATGTTTACTATAACAGAGAACTTTTCAGGGATGTTTAAATGCAAGATTTTTTTTTCATAACTATGAGTTGACAATAATATTGATAAGAAATTTTATAAAAAGAAGCTGCAAGAGAGTAAAAAATAGAACTAAATTTAGATATACTGTAAAAACTGTAAAGAATGAAGTCATAAAAAGTGAAACTACCTTCTCCAATATACTCTATTACAAAATCTCCTTTTTTAATAGGTTCAGCTGCCTCTACTCCCCAGCCACAAAGTTCAGTCTGAAAAGAAAATAAGAATTTATTATGAGAATTTTGTATGCAATTTTTCACCTTCATATTTCTCAATAATGGTAAAAAACCCAACACTGAAAGTCTTCAGCTCATACAGAAAACAATTCAGATATAGATAATTGATTCAGTTTATAGTTAACAAGTCACCTTGACAATTTTGATCTTTTTCTCCTTGCTAAATGGTCTATTGGTGCAAGATTCAGGGCAGCGGCAAGCCTTTGAGCAGCTTATGCATTGAACTCTAACATATGGCATACAAGCATGTTATAACTTGTATAAATAAATCAAAACACGTGGCAGTTTGAGAATTTAATTTCTTGGGAAACAGAGACTAATATTTATTTAGGGTTAGATGCTACCTTTCTTGCTCTCCTTTTAAATGTACTGACTACTGAGATTATCTAAATTTTTCTATTTGGAATTTGTCTTAGCTTCAGTTCTTATTTCTTTGGCTGACTATTGTAACTACATATTCACCAGAGCTGTTAAACCCTTTATATTCAACCAATCCCTTTTACAGTTCTTTTAATTCTTTTTCCGTTTGGTGTAGTTTTGTGCCTAACAAGAGGGCAGTCAGGCAAACGATTTAAATCGACAACATTGGCTTTTGGAGAACCACATACTAGCAAACTAGTCTAGAAGAAATCAATTTCAAATATTAGGTAAAAGTAATAATACAAAATGTCAATCACTCGAAAAGCCATTTTTGGGAAAACGGATAGACACAAAATGAAATGCCCGACTACAACTACAGACAAATGAATGCAGAAACAGAACCTACACAAATAAAAAAAATCTTTTTTAGAAGTTTATTAACACATCTCCGTACTTCTTCTCTAAAGAGAAACAATTTTTAAGAAAAAAAATATGTAATGTAGTCGATAATGTTTATTAGAAGTTTTTGTAGACTTCAAACATTCAAGATAAAATAATAAAGAGAAGGAACCTTGAATGGTGTTAATATTTCAGAAAATAGATGGGTTAAGGGGGGGGGGGAACTGAAATTCATTTAATAAATATGAACTTGAAAGGCAAATAATACATACCTGCATACACAATCTTCAGAGCATGTGGAACTACAACTGGAGCATCCAATATCATCAACAACATCATCACGCTTCTTCTTCACTAGGTAAGCATCTATCTCCGTTTAAGGAAGGTCAAACAAAAAGCAAACAGCAATAACTATAATGCAACAAGATTTACATTTGCTAAATTGGAAAATATCATTCAAAATGTCATAAGATATGATACATTGAGCCCTTATAATTCAGCATTTCACAAAACATATCTTATTATCCATATCTTAGGCAGAACATGGATCTTTTTAATAATGAGCAGTACCATATATAAGAAATTCCTATTTGGCATGTTAAAAACATTTCTTATTTCCCATTCACTTGATGGAATATTCAGCACAGCAGCAATTATTATTTTTATAACATAATACTACTATTAGAAAAATATATTTCTCTACATTGTTCCAGTGTAATGATAATTAGGCATATTTCATCAATGCTTAAATACACAAAGTAGCACTTTTCAAAACCTAAATACCGGAAACTTTTGACAGATTTCAGGAGACCAAAGTTTATTACATAACTTACAAAATCTTAGTCTTGGATTCTTTTAATTCTTTTTATGTTGTGGTTTCAACATAATGTGAACTATTCTCCTAACATACAAGATGAAGGATATTTATGTATGACAGTACATTTGCACGAAAAATCAAATGTAAAGATTCATGCTAATAAGAAATTTCTCAGAACATTTCCATCTATAAACTAGTACTAGAATACGAGTGTAAACTATACAAGCATGCCATGCAATCATTCAAAATATAAGCTTGTAATTCGGTTTGATAAAGTATGACATGCTTAGGATACTTCGCTTGATGTGGACATAAGGAGGTGGATCAAATTTATTCTCCACTAAATCTCTCCATGTCATGTCAAGCTTGAACTCCTCATCCATGTAAGGTAAAGGCAATTGACAGAAAACTTCCTAAAATATAAAAGAGAAAAAAGTTAGCCACTTAAATCAGGAGCCAATAGGCATATTTGACAGAATAGTGTTACCAAACAGATTTCAATAAAAAGAGCACATGAGTTGGCATGGTATTGATCATTAACTGTCATCTTGAAAACCAACTGACGTGCTTCAGAATTGATATACTTCCAAGAAAACGAATCAGGTAAATAGTTTTTTTTCTATATTAAATTTCACCGATAAATTCTATATGGTTTGATATAAAATTGAAATTTCACCAATAAACTGTGAAAAAAAACTGACCTCTATTTCAGTTGCTGGAACTGCATGCTGCTCATTCAATAAATAAGTCCTGTCAGCCAGCCTAATCAATAGAAAATAAAAATGGAGAGATAAACCTCAAGGTAAAACACAATCACACAGTTAAAACTAAATTAGCAAGTCAGGATAACTAAATCATGAACATGTCTAGACAACCTTTATAATAAACTAATTGGACTAAATTTTGAAAGCTTTTATGGTGCATGAATCATATAAAATGTAAGCATGCACACAAGCACAAAAAGCTCAAACCCCAACAACAGCAAAAAAGGAAAAGGGGATCTTGCATGCAACTCTTTGGTACTGAAGATGAATATGGACAGGTAACAGATTTCAAACAACAATTATAACATGTGAGCTAAAAAAGAGCAAGCTCAAACTCAATCTTGCGGGGGCATGCATAAAAAATTCTCAAGTACATAACTTCTACTAATATTAAATTGAATCCCACCTTTCAAATTGTGTTTCCAAAATACAACCATAAGTTTCAAAAAGAATATAAACCAAAGAGATTTAAGAAATATTCCAATTTCCACATATAGGACTAACCAGATTTCAAAGCAAATAATAAAAGGTTCGTTGAACAAATATCAAAGTGGTACTTCAGAAATGGAATAGGTTTAGGCATCTAAAAAAACCTAACCAGACTTAGAGATTACATATTACATATTAAAAAAGTAGTACACTTGCATAAGAAATTCAACAAGTCCTACCATTCACCTCATAAAAGAAATAAACAGAATGCAATTAAAACAAATATGTTGAGATACGACCACAATCATTGTAATTCATCTGCTAAAGGCTTTATCAAAGGTACTAGTAGGCAACATTGTCATAGGTAGGAAAAAGAAAATCTAATGCTAAAAGTCAGAAAAAAGGACATATCTGATGAAGGAAAGAAGAAATTGACCTTCTTATCTAGTCGCCAGTTAGTTGGGTGCCTCCAACAAATTGCTCTCCCTGGTTTGTCCTTCAAATGAATCACTGCATCCGGCCAAGGGGAGCATTTATCATGGGATGCCATCGTACAACATAGACATCGCCATTGTAATCTCTGTCTGCAAACGAAGCATACCTATTCATTGAAAAAGCCAAGTAGGATAAGCAAACTGAAAGTAATAATCATGAGCATGTTTCAGAAAAGACATCTGCAATCCTCACATATATCACAAGATTCAAAACCATCTAGGAGAAAACAAGTCATAGTAACAAAAATGAGGGGTAAGAACTTGGAACTTTTCAGATATCAGGTCAAACCTAATACAAGGTGACTTTAGTTTCTGCAAAAGACATCTTAACTTATATCTTTACCAAGACATTTGAGCAATAAGCCCAAATTATTATAGCATAAGATTATTTTAACCAGTGTTGTAAGAACAGAACTACACCAGCCAGTTGAAATAAGAACAAGTAGACCATCTGGTCCAGAATATACCATCCAACTAAAAACCGGCTAAGAACCAGTTGAACTGGCAAAATTTTAAGTAAAAACCGGAATATCACTTTTAACTTACTTTTTTAAAATTTCTTTTTATGAAAAGATTATTGTATCTGATGAGATTTGGAAATTTAATCCTTTAATCTATATTAAAATTGATACCATATTAAATTTAATACTTTAATCTATATTAAAATTGATACCATATTAATAAATACAGTTTTTTATGAAATATTTGTTATTTAATAATTATTATTAAAATTGCATATGTAAAATTTGATTTAATATTTTTGTTAGACAGGTTCAATGATTTGACCTCCAGCCCATTTTTAAAAAATATTGATTTTAACATCATAAAATCTAGAATTTAGTTTGGAAAATATTCTTTTAAAAGAAATCGACACATCTTGGTAATCATCACTGGGGAAAAAAGAAACAGGCAGGCTTTTATCAAACAACAATAACATAGATAAACACTAAGACAAATGTAAAGAAGGTAAATGCACAGAACCAAAAGCTAAACCATGAAAAGAAAAAGTTGTACCAGTACTCCCATCCTGGCATAAGAAACTATAATTTGCAAATGCACGCACCTGTGCATGTGCGTATCTAGGAATATCTACCCATCACCCTTTTCCCCTTCTCTACTATGCAAATGACCAACCAAAGAACAAGAGCAAGAATGCAAAAAATAAATTAGTAGATTCAGATATTACATGCTGTGGACACTGAAATTTTTTTGGATTGGACATCCTCAGACTTTCTTCAGCACATGTTTTGTGATAAACTCCTTGACAGCCACGAACTGTACATATGACCTCCTCCCCTGGGTAGATATGCTTATGGCAATCGAGACATTCAACCTGAGATTAAATTTCAAAATGAATAAAAAAAAAAGTAAACAAGTAGTCAAATATCAACAAGCATTGTAACCAAAAAACATATCAACAAGCTTCTTGAGGTAATTAGATTCCCAATATGAAAACATATGTATGACAACACATTGAAGCACAATCATCATTTGTGAAAATGTGGGGGTGAATGGTTAAGACACAAACACTTAAAATTGTAGAAATATCTTAAAACTAGATTTTATATACTAATTATTTCAATTAAATAAAAAAGCATAAACAAACAAATCCCACATTAACCCCATTTTCTAAGAAATCAACGTGACCTCTGTGTAAATGAACTGCCGATTTCTCCAAGCAAAAAATGTAAATACAAGAACAAATCAACAAAGAAGAAAGATCCGTACCAATCTCTTAGCCCCTACAAGAAATGGAAGAAAATAACAAGACTGGGGGAGACCAGATTCCATCTTCCTCTGAACCCAATCTCTCAAATAATCCTCCAGTACCTTTCCATTAGACCCTTTCTTCACTTTCTTCAAAACTTTAATTCCATTACTACTGTAGGCCACGCGTTTTTGGACCAAACTCTGGTCCCACTTGCCGTTTACATCTATGGTTTTGAAAGTGGCATCGTCAAAAGCATCGAGAGAATCGGTAGAGTCAACAGAAAGAGGCCTCAAGTTAGGACAATAAGATAGAGGGAGAGATGAAGAATGAGAAAGATTTCCAAGGTCCGGCATCTTTCAGTAGAAAGAAACTTTTAAAAAAATGCACGAAAATGAAAACCCTTGATTTTTTTGATAGGGGAAGTAAGAGAGGGGAAATTTAAAATCTGGGCGGGAAAAGTAATTTAGAAAAGGGTGGGAAACTATGAAATGGGAAAAACTGTATCAAATGATGACGGAAAAAATGATTTTACGAGACTGCCTAATTTGAATTTTCTGTATTGTATTAAATTTCTAAAACAAAAATATTCTTTTATTGTACTCCTGATTTCAAGGTTTTATTTTGATTCATCTTAATTGACACATTTAGTTTTGGACCAACCTCATTGCTAAAAACAAAATATTTTAAGTTGAAGTATATTTTTATTTAAAAAATCAAATTTTTAGTATAAACTAAATATTTTAGATTGAAAAATTGAAAATTTTTAATAATCTCAACTAATATTTTAAACACTTCTAAATCCCTATTTAATTTTAAAATAAAAATAATTTTCTTTTAATTTATTAGACATTTTATGATTTTTTTCAACAGATTAAATGTCAATATATTTTAGCGTAAATTATGTATTTAGTACTTAAATTATTAATTTTGATCTGTTTTAATAACTAAACTTTTAATTTTTAAAAAATCATACCTAATGTTTAGTTTTCATCTCATTTTAGTATCCGCCGTTAAAAATTTAGCGCGTTTTGTAAATAAACTATCAGTTTTGATACATTTTAGTAACTAAACTTTCAAAAAAAATAAATTCATAACTTAATGTTAAATTTTGAATGGGATACTAAACTGAAACGAAAAATAAAGTTTTTAACGGCAATGTACTAAAACAAAATAAAAACTAAATTTTAGATATGATTTTGAAAAAGTTGAAAATTTAGGTACTAAAACATGTCAAAAGTGATAGTTTGAATGCTAAAGGATAATTCATCCTATTTGTTTACTGTAACTTCATCCCATGAAAATTTAAGTGAAATATTTTTTTCCAAAAAAACATGTTATAGATGCACATTTACTTCATGGAAATTAATAACATGCATTATTTAATAAATATAATTATTATTAAAATTACTTTCGATAATCGATCCCAATTAAATATCTAGTTCTGAACCTACTTCCGAGTCGATCCCTTGAACAGTTGGAAAATAGCGATGATCTCATTCATGAATCATCGACCTCGACATTTTGAACAAACTAGAGCAGCGTCGCTTACAAAAAAAAAAGCATATAGACCACATTCAGCATGCCTAACTTCTGGGTTGCATACCTAACTTCCAATGAAGAGGTTGTTTTGGGTTGCATGCCTAACTTCCCATGAAGGCAGCATAGTGAGACCCTCTCAGAGCCAACAACGGCTGCCACTTGCTGGGTCGGGTGATGTGAGTATCATTGAGGCACAAGCTCTTACAACACGAATTCGTCTAGCAGTCGAATCAAATGTGTTTCGTGAGTAATAGCCGAAAGTGATGCTATTACTCTTGTGCGCCAGTTAGTGCATCGTCGCCTTGATCTGTCCGTGGCATGCTTCCACCTGGTAGAAGCAAAACGGCTGCTGGACGACAACAACCACATTCGAATCTATTATGTTAGCCGTACGGTCAATGCATTTTTGGCTAATGCAATAAAGTCCAAAAAAAAAAAAACTTTAAAATTCTCCTCACACTGTTGTTCCTATCCTACACTTTGATTCAATCTCATCCATCCTTCTTTCAGCATTACCTCGCATGACGTATTGTGCAAATATGTCTTACCACCCATCAACTCTTAGAGATGCTTTACAGAGGCCATATGTGAAGATAAGCACTTGTTCATGACCAAAATTCAGCTGCACCAGAAAGATCCACTTCAGCCGAATAGGGGCAGTCTACTTGTATTCTTTGTATTGTTTGCATCCTTTCGATTTTATGTTTTTTTCAATAGCTTGAGAAATAAGAAATCCGTCCAAAAAAATATATTCAATCCATGACTAGTTTCCTTGTTCACCAACAAGAAATACCGAACTATCAGATATCGAAACAATCACATTTTACAGTTTCACATATATAAGCTTCACGGTATCTGCACATCGAATCCCTTACTATAAATAAGTGAAAACAAATGCTAAACTTCTGAGTGCAAGAGTCATCAATTAGTTCCAGACACTTATTGAAATACCTCAATCGCAGCCATGGAAGAACAGACATATTTGCGCAGCAAGTGCAGCAGCCATGATGAAAGTTGATACATCCTCTTATTCATCTAAATCATTTCCAAACATTTAGATCAGCAATGCCTCAGGTACCCCCACCACCTTCAAGCCTTATCCTGATCCTATTTAAGAAGTGCCCTTTACTTTTGGCTTCACAAGAGTTCTCTTGCGCCTCAAACAAAGGAATGGATACAACACAAACATATATCTGTGCATATGCCTGTTCATTACCGATGAACTCGATAAAAAAACGGGAAACGATATTCTTAAATTGGTGTGAGTATATTCTCCACATTTTTGAGGTAAAACTACATGGTTCCAACGAGAAAGTAGCTAAGAACCTGCTGAAGTCTAAGCTATCACCATAGAGGTCTCTGTCATAACCCTTGCATCATCGATTACTCGAGCACCCTTTCTATTTCTGATCATCATCATTTTACCAATAGAACAATGTGAAACAAATCATTTCAAATATCCTAAACCTGTTCGCAGTGCTTAATTAGCAAAAGCAGTAAGGTGACTCAAAATGCAGCTAGGTTAATTTGTCACATATGCAATGGCTCAAAATTTAAGCGACTCGTGTACTCAGACATAACTAGCAAGAGAAGGGAAGCTAAATTTGTTGTATTCCCAGAAATTAAAATGAGATAAAAGTGTCAAATTCTTGGCTGATTATTATTTGCAATTGCAATAACGTATTGATCGAATCCAAGAAAAACTTACAATTAATCAGAAACATGAGCACACTTGTGGAAATCATGCCGATTACCAAAATCACACAGCAAGTGACAAAAAAAAAAGAATATCAAATCAATGGTGTATCGGTATTAATCTGAATGGGGATTGCATTCTTCCGAGTAGAAATGGTTCTTCTCAATCAAAGTTCTAAGCATCTGATGAGTGAAGGCCGGATCATTGGGGTCGATGGGTTTGGACTCATCAGCTGATTCCAAAGTACGCGGTCGCGTGCAACAAAAGCCGCCGCGAAAGCCATCACTGGAAGCAACCCTTTTACCTGAAGAAGAAGACGAAGGCGGGTTTGCTCTGGTTTTTGTTCGTCTCTTCCTCCTAAATTTTGTAAATGAAAACAGGAGAATCTTCTTTAACTGTACCCCCATGAAATCCCTTTTACAAGTACGCCCATCAAAATCTATTCTTCGAGAGATGGACACCGATCACAGTCGTCTTCATCGTCACCAACTCCGGTACTGTGGGATAAAGCTATAAAAGAACGTAATCACTTCACGGGATAGGAGCCAAAAAAGGAAGAGATATCAAAGCCGGTAGTCTAACAGGGGAAGAAGAGAGAAACCCGTGTAAGCAACATCCATGGAAGCCTAATGGCCTTACAATGAAAATATAATTACAAAAAAAAAGTGAATTGAATTTCGTAATTCAGATGAAAAACCTGAGATCGCATAAAAAGGATTTTCAACTTTCGAAAACGAAAGGAATAGGTTTCTTCACCAGACACTGTTTTGTCGATGGGATTTGCTTGCCTGACGGTACGTAGTTCCGAAAGAGAGTCACCGACAAATTATAAGCCTTCAGAATTTTACGAACGAACCGCTGACTACTTTCGTCATATTCTAATGAGAATTTAAAAAAAATGGAAAAATTAAGATGATCAGTTATTAATCAAATAATAATCTCAAAATCAACTTCTTCTTCTTTGGGAATATATCATCAACTAATTCTTAATAATAAAAGATTAAGTTATTAAGAATATGTTAATTTATTTGGGTAAACTACACATTTAGTACTTAACATAATGTTTTAGTACCTAAACTTTTAATTTTTTAAAATAATACCTAATGTTTAGTTTTATTTCATTTTAGTACTCCGTCATTAAAAACTTAACGTGTTTAATACATTAACTATCAATTTTGATCCGTGTTAGTACCTAAACTTTCTTCTTCTTTTTTCAAAACTTAACGTAAATTTTGAACGAAGTACTAAAATGAAATAAAAACTAAATTTTAGGTATCATTTAAAAAAATAAAAGTCTAAGTATTATATATAAAGACTGATAATTTAGGTACTAAATGCGTAATAAACCCAATTTATTTTTATCACATACTCATGTTTATGGTATATATATATAACAAAATTTCAAATTTGTACGATTAAATTTTACTATACTATAATGTATATAGAATAAAATACTATATAAAATAGTTATAAAAGTTTATTAAATAAAAAAAATCCTAACCATCAACTCTCTCTCCCTCTTTTCCCTCTTCATTGTTTGTGTCGTTTCCTATAGATTAAATTATCTTTTTTATTTTATTTAGCCTGTGGCGACATTAGTTTTGATGTTAGTTGTCGACCGTCGATTTTTTTTCTCTTTGTTTGTTTTTAGTTTTTAAAAATGAATAATTATGTTTTTGTGACACGTCTATCTCTACTATTATGACATGTTTTAGCTCTGTCTTTGAGACACATTTTTCATTTTCTTCATCGATTGTTTGGTTGTTTCTTTTATTTTATATTTTTTCAAGGTTGGATTTGACAATGTCACGACTGATCAAGATGACATTTATTTGTAATCTTGTTGATCTATTATGATATGGACACTCGAATTGAATTTTGATACGCGATTTGCGTTCGTGAATAGTTTCTCACAACTCTTGGCTCTGATTTACGGTTCTCAGAGATATTTCAATAGTTTAATCACCTTTCGTGATTCGTTTATCGATGCAGTTATATTTGTTTGTATCTATTTTTTGTTCAAGTCTTTTTGTTGAGTTTTTAACTTTTTCATGTATGGTCCTTATATGATCTAAAGTTGTTAGTTCTACTATTTTAGAAAAGTGTACAAATTATGTATTTAGTTTACTATGATATTTGTAAACTCTTATTATAATTTTGGATATTTTCACTTTTTAACAACAAAAAAAACTAAGTGATTTTTATTAAAAAAAGTTTATTTAATAAATAGTTATATGCAAAATGTCAAGAAAAATGTATATAAATTTATTAATATTGTGTTCAATTACTAAGTAATAGTTTTAATTTTTTATTTAAAAATTATTAAATATACAAAAATATAAGAACATCATTATTAAAATATTTTATTTATAAATAAATAATTAATTTTTAATTAAGTTAAGGTGATTATAAAGTATCATCTATTCTAAATACGCTCAACCATTTGACAATAAACAATCAATAACCTTACTGCAGTCGCTGATGCTTGAATCTGTGACTTCTAAAAACAACAACGATCTATTTAACCACTAAAATAAGTTGATTTATGCAAATAATAATTTAATTTTTCTCTTACTAAATTGATATCTAATTAACTAGTGAAATGGGTTCGATAAAAATATAAATATCGACAAAGATTAATTGAAATTTTAATAATATTTTGTTATATTATTCATTAGGCAAGAAAAATGCAACTTTCTATGTATTATTTTTTATATTTTTTATATTGTTTATCGTTAGCTTCACTTTCTATATTATTATCTAGTCATATGAGAAAAATATAATAAAATCACATACTTCAAAACTAATTTTAACCTGGAATTGTCGAGGTGCTGGTAATAAGGCGTTTTTGCGTAATGCTCGGTGTCGCAACCGTCTTTCGGGTTGGGCCCGGAATTGGGCTTCGACTTGAATTGATCGGGTTGGAGTCGCCACCGACCACTTTGAAACGAATTTAGGTGGGCCGGACACTATCTTACCTGATCTGCGTTGTACCAGAAACGTGTCGAGTTCGGGAGTCGGTTACGGTCAAGGAAGGATTAGCACCCTTGAACCGCCCTTTCGGTACCAATTAATTTATCGGTTGTCTTTATAGCGAAAATTAGAAAATTTAAATTACTCGATTCGAATTACTCACCTTTGATCAATTGGAATTTCTCTACAAAGTCAAAATTGTTAGGGGAAAGAGAAAGAAAAAAGTAAATATTGAATAAATAAAAGGAAGGAAAAAATAATAATAATACAAATGCTAGATTTTAAAAGTAATAAATTATTTACAACACATTAAAATTAAGATAAAAATGAATGACTAAAAAAATGCTAAAATTAAAAAGGAAAAAAAATTAAAGGACTAAATTAAAACAAATTAAAATGGATGGATTAATCAGGTACTAAAATTGAACTGCAAAATAAAAAAAGAGTTAGGGGTCAAATTATGAAAAAAATGTAAATTAAAAGTAGGGACTGAATTGAATAAATCGAAAATTCAGAGGCCAAATTGCATACAGTGACCAGATTGTAAAACGATTCGAAGTTCGAGGGATGGCGGAGAAGATTTAAAAATCCTGTAATTGCACATTAGTCCTCGGTATATAAATACCCGAAATCACTCTTTTCCCCTTCATTTTCACAATTCTCTCCAAGCTCTCATTTCTCTCAACCAGAGAACACTATCGCCTCCTCTCCCTTGGCGATTTCCGGCCACCGTGCCGGCTATCGCCGACGGTGACCGACGGTGGCCGAGCAAACCTAAAACACCCAAAGCGCTCTCCTCACCCACGAGAGCCCGGATCCGAACCCAAAACCACCTAAAATTGCTTTTTCCGACGTAGATCTAAAAAATAAGGTTTCTGTTTTTACCCCTCTTCCGTCGTATGGTTCGTCTTCCAGTGGTTCTGTCCTCTCCGGTGCCGCTCTTCGCTCTTATGGACGAGAGAAAGGCTTCGGCCTTTGTCCTTTTTGTTGGTGAATGTTATGCTTTGTGTTTTGCTTTGATATTTCTGTTGTACTTCGCTTCGGGTTTTTTATGGCTCTGTTGGTTGATGTTGTTTGTATTGATGGTTGTGGACTCACTGTTTTGCTCTCGGTTGTTGATGATTCTCGTGTTTTGTTCCTGTGTTCTGTGTTGGTATTTATACATCCCCCAACGGGGTTGTTTCCGGTGATGACGGGGTCGATCCCGGATATTCCGGGGTTGTTCTCGGTGATCTCAGATGGTTCAGTCCGAGTAGCTCCGATTTTGGTGCTGCACGCCGCCGAGATCCTCGGTTAACCGGTGACTTCAAATCTTCTGGAATGCTTGATCTCGACCGTTGGATTGGGTCAGATCCAACGGTCCAAGATCATATGCGGCACTGTGCTTGTTATCTTGATAGATTAGGGTTTTGCAACCCTACTAGACCTGGGCTGGTTGGACGTGGACCCTTATTGGACTTGGACCCTGGATCAGAAAAACAAAAAGAAATAAATAAATAAGAAAAAATAATAATTAAAAGAATAATAATAATAATAAAATATAATATATAATATATAAAAAATATTTTTAAAAACTATATATTATATATTTAAAAATATTTTCCAAAATTATATTATATAATTTTCAAAAATGTTTTAAAATTATATATTACATGTTTTCAAAAATGTTTTTTTTAATATATATTATATTTAAAAATGATTTCAAAACTATATAATATATATTTTCAAAATGTTTTCAAAAATTATATATATATATATATATTAAAATATTTTCAAAAATCATATATATATGTTTCCAAAAAAGTTTTCCAAAAATTATATAATATATATTTTCAAAAACCGTTTTCAAAATTATATATATATTATATGTATTTCAAAAACATTCGCAAACTATATAATATATATGTATAAAAAAAATATATGGACGAAAATGAGCGTCTACAGCTGCCCCTCTTTGTTCTTTTTCGTGGAATGAAAAATAGGACAAAGATAAAAAGACGCAAATTTTCGTTCAGTGGGGTTGAAAAATAGCTCCTTGTCGAATTGAGTTACGGATGGCTCCTCCGTCGCGAAGTCGAGTTCATCTTGAAATGATATGGAATTGAAACGTAGTGCGACTTCTTGTTGCCCAATTGTAGTCAACCTCGGTCTTTTCCTTAGTTTAAGGACCTTGGTTAAAAATTCGGCTGGAAAATATTTCTTTGACTTCACCATCTGATTTAACAAGCCCTCGAGCTGAATAAAATCGAACTCGAAAAGTCTTTGTTGACAAATAGCTTTTCTCGACTTAAGCTATGTTGCTGGAAAACGATTTTTTATCACTGAGGCACAGTTAACCCAGATCTTCTTCTGGACTTGAAAATCTCGATTACAGCCGGACAGTAGTGTGATTGAGGTGTTATCGAGCTGATTAGAATCGAACTCGACAGTTTTATTGACAGATAGCCCTTCTTGCATTGAGCTATTCTGTAAGCCTGATTTGCCTCTAAGTTGAATATAATCGAACTCGAAGGTCTTTAGCAGATATCCCTTCTCAACTTAAGCTATGCTGCAAATGATGTGCCTTGGAGCTGAGCGGAGTCGAACTCGAAGGTCTTTTGGTCACAGATAACCCTTTTAGCCTTGAGTTATGCTGTAAATGATGTGTCGTTGAGCTGAGCGTAGTCGAACTCAAAGGTCTTTTGTTGGCAGACAACCCTTCTAGACTTAAGTTGTATTGCAAATGATATGCCTTGGAGCTGAGCGTAGTCGGACTCGAAGGTCTTTTGTTGGCAGATAACCCTTCTAGACTTAAGTTGTATTGCAAATGATATGCCTTGGAGCTGAGCGTAGTCGAACTCGAAGGTCTTTTGTTGGCAGATAACCCTTCTCGACTTAAGTTATGCTGCAAATGATG